ACCAGCTAGGGTTATTCTTATGCTTTCTTAAGTTACTTGTGATTAGTTTGATCCTTTTGAATCTTGCTTTTAAGCTTCAGTGGGGTGTATAGAATAGCCTCTTAGCCCCATTACAAAACAGTATGCTTTCCAGAACTCCACCAGATACCCCTTTTTTTAAGAAAGGCTTTCTACTCACCCTAGTAGAACCACAAACTAGTCCCAGCTCTGTCTGGGCTCCGTTCAGTTTGCTGCTGTCTGCGAGTTCTTTCTCTAGCTTCATAGAGTTCCAACCCACATGTGCAGATAATAACTATTCTGCAAAATATTCCAAGGGACTCCTCTACAGATGCCCAGAATTCTGTTTCTGTGCAGCTCTTTCCTCTTTTGTATTTTGCTATTCAGATCCTTACCTCTTTGGCCTCTCTGAATGCCAATATCTATCTAGCTCATCAATTCAGCAACATTCTTGGGCTCTGTGTGAGTTTCCTTACCCTGCATTGCAGCTTGGAAATTTCCTTTAGTCAGTGATCTCTGGCAAAGGTAGGACTCCCCCGGATTGTTTCTCTCTGAGATCATAGGTCTTTACTGCAGTTGTCCAGTGTCTGAAAAACAGTTCTTTCATATATTATGTCCAGTTCCTAGTTGTTTATGTTTAAAGGGCAATTTCCATAATAATTAATCCTTCATAAGCTACTAGTAAAGAGAAATCCGGTATAAAGTTTATGCTTTTCACACTTTTTAAAAATAATCAGAAGAAATAAATTCTGTTCTTTTAACTTTTAACTAGTTCACTCCATCTTCTCTGCACTTCCTTTTCTGAATTTGTATTTACTATAGAAGAAATTGATTTCATGTTCTGTTAGAACTCTAATGTAACATGTATCTTTAATTTATTTACCAGTGAGGGCATCTCAAAATACAGGTTCATGCTAGATTTTACAATTTCTCTTAATAGTGGGAAGGGGTGTTTATACAGTATGTTTTTTTGTGTGTTTTTTTAATTGAGGTATAATTGATACACATTGTATTAGTTTCAGGTATACATGTCTTTATTAACTAATTTCTGTCCTAAGGCTAAATGGCCTGTTTTTTGAGCATTACAGGTGAGACCTCTCTCTCTCTCTCTCTCTCTCTCTTTTTGTTAATCCTCACCTGAGGATATGTTATTGATTTTAGAAAAAGAGGAAGAGAGAGAGGGAGAAACATGTATGAGAGAAACATCAATCAGTTGCCTCCGGTGCATCCTGACTGGGTATCAAGGCACATACCTTTTTGGTGTATGGGACGATGCTCCATCCAACTGAATCACCCAGCTGGTACAGACCTCTCTCTCCCTCTTTCATTCGCCTTACAAATATAGGGTAGCCTACCCAGTTGGCGTGGCTCAGTGGTTGAGTGTTGATCTACAAACCAGGAGATCACGGTTTGATTCACGGTCAGGGCACATGCCCAGGTTGCAGGCTCTAGGTAGCCGATCAATGATTCTCTCTCATCATTGATGTTTCTCTCTCTCTCGCTCTCTCTCTCTCTCTCTCTCTCTCTCTCTCTCTCTCTCTCTCTCTCTCCCCCTCTCCCCCTTCCTCTTTGAAATCAATAAAAATATATTAAAACAAAGCAAAGTGAAAAAACAAATATAGGGTATTCCAAAAAGTATATGCATCTACTTTGAATGATTTTTTTTTCCCACATTTTAACTCATTTAATCCTGACCACAACTCTATGAAGTATTATATGTTACCCATTTCACAGATGGGAAAAATGGAGCCCAGAGAAGTTAAGGAACTTCCTGGGGTCCAACCCCAGCAGGTCCAGGGGTCCCCAAAGGTGTGGACGGAGTCGGCGAAGAGGGAATGACATGGAGGCAGCGTTCAGGTGATCATCATAGCCAGGTTCCCTAGCCAGGATCTCCAGCCAAGTTCTGTCCAGGTTCTCTAGCCAGGTTCTGTAGCCATGTTCTCCAGGTTCTCCAGCCAGGTTCGGTCGCCAGGCTCTGTGGCCAGGTTCTCCAGCCAAGTTCTGTAGCCAGGTTCTGTCCAGGATCTTTTGCCATGTTCTCTCGCTAGGTTCTGTCTCTAGGTTCTGTGTCTCTAGGTTCTGTGTCTCTAGGTTCTGTCTGAATGATTATTAAGGCAGTGTTTATTAAAATACATTTCATTTTCAGAATTGAGCTATCAGCTGTTGAGTTGTGTATACATTTTTATGGACACCCAATCACTGGAGAGGCTTAGTGGATTCATGTGTTATTGGTGTTTTTTAGTGTTTTGATTATTTTTTTTTTAGTTGCTTTGTGCTTATTTTCCTTGGCTAGATTTGTTCTTTGTCTACATATAATTCATGTTATTGTCACTTGTAACTTAACTCAGTGTTTGTTTGCTGCTATTCTCATCTTGTTCACTTGGTAATGCGTAATTTAAAAATATAACCACATGGCGGCATAGGTTAACACCTGAAATTGCTGCCTCGCACAACCACTTGAAAAATAAAACTAAAAGACAAAACGGACATCATCCAGAACCACAAGAAGGCTGGCTGAGTGGAAATTCTACAACTAGAAGGAAAGAGAAAAGCACACTGAGACTCAGAGGAGGTGCGGAAGTAAAGTGCAGAGGTACAGAGGCGCACATGAAAAGGGCTGGCAACTGAGGACACGGTTGTCTTTTTCAATCGGGAGGGAGACACAAGCTCCCGGTGGCCCTAGACTCCAGTCCTGGGCAAGACTCTGGGGACCCAGGCTCATACGGGGGAAACTGGACTGACAGCGGGCGGAACTCAAGGGCAGTTTTCTCTCAGAGGTGCTTGCAGTGATTACCGTGGGACACTGAGACCCGGGACCTCTTAGGGCAGGACTGAGGATCAGCCATAGCTGTTTGCTCCGTCCTGTTGATTCCCTGAGACCCCGCCCCACCCAAGCTGTGGCAGAGGCTTTTGCATATGAATGACCTGGCCCGTTGCAATCTACAATTACCTAACAAACTGCAGCTGGGTCAGAGAGACCCAGAACATCCAAAAGAAGGCCCAAGGCCTCACAGCAGCTTGCATTGCTTCACAGCTGGGCCTCATCTAGGCACCTCCTAACCCCAAACAAGGAAGAGGAATCTGTAGATCTCTCCATAGCTCCTGCTGAGTAGCCTCAGGCAGAGGCTAAATTAGCACCTCCTTAGAGATCCAAGTGCCAGTGTACCCAGTAGTCAGAGTGGGACCATCCAAATTACAACTCCTCAGATCCATAAGGAACACACTCAGGGGGCAGACTCAGTGAGCACCAAAGCCCCACTGAAGCAAGTCTTTCCCCATAAGGGTGTCTCCAGCACAGAAGTTCTCCCACTTTAGACACAGCTGATTCTCACAGCCAGTTGGCCTGGAGGTCAATTCCTCCCAGTGATACCAACAACAGTCAAGGCTTAACTACAACAAGATTGTGCACACAGCCCACAAAGGGGTGCACCAAGAGTGTCCACCTCAGGTAATTGGGGAGGCTGAGCCACTGGGTCCTATAGGACACCTAGCACAGAAAGCCACTCTATCAACACAGGGAAGCATAAAAAATGTGGAGACAAAGAAACAGGTCACAAATGACAGAAATGGAGGAAAGCAAACTACTGGATATAGAGTTCAAAACTACACTTTTAAGGTTTTTCAAGAATTTTCTAGAAACCGCCAATAAATTTAGTGAGACCCTCGAGGATATGAAAAAGGACCAACTAGAAATTAAGCATACACTGACTGAAATGAAGAATATTATACAGAATCCCAACAGCAGACTAGAGGATTGCAAGGATCAAGTCAAAGATTTGAAGTATGAAGAAGTAAAAATCACCCAACCGGAAAAGCAAAAAGAAAAAAGAATCCAAAAATATGAAGATAGTGTAAGGAGCCTCTAGGACAACTTCAAGTGAACCAACATCTGAATTATGGGGGTGCCAGAAGAAGAGAGGGAGCAAGATATTGAAAACCTATTTGAAGAAATAATGACAGAAAACTTCCCCTACCTGGTGAAAGAAATAGACTTACAAGTCCAGGAAGCACAGAGAACCCCAAACAAAAGGAATCCAAAGAGGACCACACCAAGACACATCATAATTAAAATGCCAAGAGCAAAAGACAAAGAGAGAATCTTAAAAGCAGCAAGAGAAAAACAGTTAGTTACCTACAAGGGAGTACCCATAAGATTGTCAGCTGATTTCTCAACAGAAACTATGCAGGCCAGAAGGGAGTGGCAAGAAATATTCAAAGTGATGAATGCCAAGAACCTACAACCAAGATAACTTTATCCAGCAAAGCTATCATTCAGAATTGAAGGTCAGATAAAGAGCTTCACAGATAAGAAAAAGCTAAAGGAGTTCATCACCACCAAACCAGTATTATATGAAATGCTGAAAGGTATTCTTTAAGAAGAGGAAGGAGAAGAAAAAGGTAAAGATAAAAATTATGAACAAGAAATACACATCTATCAACAAGTGATTCTAAAAATCAGGTGAATAAATAATCTGATAAACAGAATAAACTGGTGATTATAATAGAATCAGGGGCATAGAAAAGGAGTGGACTAACTATTATTGGGGGAGATAAGGGAGGGGATGTGGGAAGACACTGGACAAAAATCGTGCACCTATGCATGAGGACAGTGGGGGAGGGGGGGAGGGCAGAGGGCGGAGTGGGAACCGGGTGAAGGGGAGCTATGGGGGGGCGGGGGGAGAGGAACAACTGTAACAATCTGAACAATAAAGATTTAAAAATAAATAAAAATATAACCACATAGCCATGGCTGGGTGGCTCAGTTGGTTGGAGCGTCTTCCTGTACACCAAAAAATTGTGCCAGTTCCATCCCTGGTCCGGGCAACCAATCAATGTTTCTCTCTCACATCAGTGTTTGTTTTTTTTCTCTCTCTCCCTCTCTCTATCTCTCCCTCCCTCCTTCTCTTCCTCTTGGTCTAAAATCAATAAACATATCCTCAGGTGAGGATTTAAAAAAAGTAACCACATAAACAGTGTTTTACTTGCCTGACTTTCCCTTCCAGGTGGTATAGCTGTATGCTGGGAAAGAAATGCAGCCTTGCTCCTCTGAAGGAAGAACTTCGAGTACAAGGGGTAAGCCTTCTTCATTACTGTTCCTGTGTATCTACTGTTGATGGTAGTTGGAATATAGGATTTTCCTTTACACCTTAAATCTTTAAATGGGCTTTTTGTTTTGTTTTTGCTTGTTTATTTTTTAATTTTGTGGCCAAAAGGGACTTCTCATAAATTATTTAAATAAGGCCTTGTTTGACAATTGCTTATAACAAAGAAAAATTGGGAAAACAGGATGAGTATAATGTCAGAGAAAAACCAAAAATTTTTTTTTTTTTTTTAATTAAATCTTTATTGTTCAGATTATTACATTTGTTCCTCTTTTTTTTCCCCCCATAACTCCCCTCCTCCCAGTTCCCGCCCCTCCCTCCGCCCTCACTCCCCACCCACTGTCCTCATCCATAGGTGCACGATTTTTGTCCAGTCTCTTCCCGAATCTCCCACACCCCTTTCCCCCCCAGGAATAGTCAGTCCATTCCCTTTCTATGTCCCTGATTCTATTATAATCAACAGTTCATTCTGTTCATCAGATTATTTATTCACTTGATTCTTAGATTCACTTGTTGATAGATGCATATTTGTTGTTCATAATTTGTATCTTTACCTTTTTCTTCCTCTTTCCCTTCTTAAAGGATACCTTTCAGCATTTCATATAATCCTGGTTTGGTGGTGATGAACTCCTTTAGCTTTTCCTTATCTGTGAAGCTCTTTATCTGACCTTCAATTCTGAATGATAGCTTTGCTGGATAAAGTAATCTTGGTTGTAGGTTCTTGGTATTCATCACTTTGAATATTTCTTGCCACTCCCTTCTGGCCTGCAAAGTTTCTGTTGAGAAATCAGCTGACAGTCGTATGGGTATTCCCTTGTAGGTAACTGAGTTTCTTTCTCTTGCTGTTTTTAAGATTCTCTCTTTATCTTTTGCTCTTGGCATTTTAATTATGATGTGTCTTGGTGTGTTCCTCTTTGGATTCCTTTTGTTTGGGGTTCTCCGCGCTTCTTGGACCTGTAAGTCCATTTCTTTCACCAGGTGGGGGAAGTTTTCTGTCATTATTTCTTCAAATAGATTTTCAATATCTTGCTCTCTCTCATCTTCTGGCACCCCTATAATTCTGATGTTGGTACGCTTGAAGCTGTCCCAGAGGCTCCTTACACTATCCTCGCATTTTTGGATTCTTTTTTCATTTTGCTTTTCCGGTTGGGTGTTTTTTGCTTCCTCGCATTTCAAATCATTGACTTGATTCTTGCGCTCCTCTGGTCTGCTGTCGGGAGTCTGTATAGTATTCGTTATTTCAGTCCGTGTATGCTTAATTTCTAGTTGGTTCCCCAATATAAGATCGAGGGTCTTATTAGTTTTCTTGTAGATCTCATTAAGTTTATCGGCGGCTTCTAAACAGTTCTTGAGAGACCTTAAAAGTGTGGTTCTGAACTCTATATCTTCCATTGACAATTTTGTCCTGTTTCTTTGTCTCCGCATTTTGTTATGCTTCCTTGGTGCACCCCCTAGTGGTCTTTGTTCACAGTCTTATAGTTAAATCTTGATTGTTGTAGCTAATTCCAGGGAGGGTTTGACCTCCAGGCCAGGTGGCTATGAGAATCAGCTGTGTCAGCAGTGAGAGAACTTCTGTCCTCTAGGGAGGTGCTAATCTGGCCTTTGCCTGAGGCTATCCGGCAAATGCCTCTGTGCAGGGCTTGGGCAGGGCGGGTCGCACAGGATCAACAGGGTGGGCCGGAGAGAGCAGTTATGGCGGCTCTCAGTCCTGTCCCCAGGGGCTCTGCCTCTCTGAGTCCCAGCACCCGCTGCAAAGCTCAGAGAGAAAGCTGCACTCGCTCTGACCGAAGCCAGACAGTCCCGCTTCTCCCGTTTGAGTCAGGGTCCCTAAAGACTCGCCCGGATCTGGAGCTCAGAGTCTGCGACTCCCTCCGGATTGAAAACGCCAACCGCGCCCTCCACCGCCAGCCCGCTCCACGCACTCCGCACCTCAGAATTTGACTTCAGCACTGCGCCTCCTCTGAGTGTCCGTATGCGTTTCTCTTTCCTCCTAGTTGTAGGACTTCCACTCAGGCAGCGTTCCTGTGGTTCTGGGTGATGTCCCTTCCGTTTTTTGGTTTCACTTTTGAAGTAGTTGTTCAAAGCAGCAAACTCCAGCGTTAACCTATGCCGCCATCTTGGTTCTCCGAAAAACCAAAAATTTTAAAAAGCTGATGTTGCCTGGCTGATGTTTCTCAGTGGATTGAGCATCATCCCATGCACCAAGAGGTCACTGGTTCGATTCCCAGCAAGGGCACATACGTGGGTTGCAGGCTTGATCCTCAAATGAGGGCGTGCAGGAGGCAGTAGGGGGCATGCAGGAGGCAGCCAATTGATGTTTCTCTCCCATCATTCTTTCTATCTCTCTTTTCCTCTTCCTCTCTAAAATAAATTTTAAAAAAATATAAAACAACCTGATGTCTACCTGCCACATCTGACTTCTTTATAACTGCAGAAACTCAAGGCTACGTACCTTAAGAGAATTAAGTCTGGGTTATGCGTCTAGTTATCAAAAAAACACCTAGAACCAGGAGATCCTCAGTATAGTTTGTGTCCCTCTATGGTGCAATCCAAATGAGTTCAGCCCCTTGCTTCTGTTTTAAAAAGCATGTGGCAAATAAATACTACCCCTCTCATAGCCCGTCCCAGTTTATGGTATTTTGGCATGAGTAAGCCTTAGCAGGATGACTTTCCAGAGAGATCAGATGTGGGTCCAGGGGTAGAAGCCAAATTTCTGATTTCTGGTTTCTCTCTCACATTCTACTTACCCTATGTTCCCTACCACACTTTTTCTTTGTTAAAATTATAACAGCTACAAAGCAATTTTGTTTTCTTAAAATTTGATAGACGAAAGGGAGACTATATAGGTGTGTCTAGTCATTTGGTGGCTTGCTTTCTTACAAAAAGAAAACAAAAAACCATTCAAATCATTTTACCAATGCTTCTTTGAAGAGCTGTGTTTTGGAAGTTTCATATATTTGGATCTCAAGCCAGCACCATAAATTTTTTCTAATGTTTAAGGGAAAATGCCACAACTTTGTGAGAGATAATTTATTCATTGATTATTAGGCAGCTATGCATAATTGTTTTGGGACACAATTTCACATGAAGCAGCGGCCAGAAACATACTGGTAGAATGACTTCAATTTGATAAGATGCTGTGTTTGTTGGTTTCAGGTTCCTAAAGTCACCTACACCGAATTCTGTCAAGGTCGGACAATGAGATGGGCCTTAGCTTGGAGTTTTTATGATGATGTAACAGTTCCAGTAAGTACAGACCTTGCTTTAGCTTCTACAAATGCCAGCACAGGGTGGGTTGTAGTAGGTCATAAATGAACTAAATCTATGCTTTCCTGTTTTTCTTAACTTTGTTCCAAATGTTTGCATCAGAATGGAAAGTGGTTGTAAACATGACAGTCCTGTAAGGCTGGCGACGGTAAATGTGGAGTCTTTTTCATGGTTTGGTGCAAGACAGTGATTCTTGCTCAGCAAACATAAATTAATTGGAAATATATATTTTAGGAATTAAAAATGCAGATAATATAACTTGTAGAAATACCTGCAGATATAATTATCCTGTTGGACATTCTTCATAAATTTAAATGGGCCCTGACTGATGTTCTCAATGGTTAGAGCGTCTGGCCCATGCACCAAAGGGCGATGGGTTCGGTTCCCGGTCAAGGGCATGTACCTGGGTTGCAGGTTTAATACCTACCCCCGGTTGAGGTGTGTACAGAAGGTAACCAATCGATGTGTCTCTCTGAGGTCAGTGTTTTTGTTCTCTCTCCCTTCCCACTCCCTTTCTCTCTCCTTCTCTCCCTTGCCCCCTCCTGCTCTCTCCCTTCCACTCTAAAAACCGGTGGAAAAAATAAATATCCTCAGGTGAGGATTAACGACAACAAAAATATTTAAATAGACGTCTGTTTTCCTTTATTCACTGCTGCTTTCCTACAGATCCTATCTCTTCAGGTTCCTGGTTGAATATAGAAATTTGCCATTTGGGGTTTGATGTGTAACACTTAGAACCCTTCACTAAAGTGATCCCTATCTTGGCTTTAAGATTTGCACTAGAATATTGATCAATTTTGAATCTAGATGATGGGTCACTATCCTATTCTTTCTACTTTGTGTATGCTTGAGCTTGAACATTTTTGTAATAGAATGTTTTACAGAGTGATTTGTTCCACAAACTTCTCCTTATCCTATGTGCTGCTCTATGTAAAAGAAAAATACAAATTCACGAGACTGAGTCAATTCTCTGGGCTGTACCGCGAAGTCATAATAGAACAGCATCTGCCCAGTGGTTCAGTGGTTGAGCATCGACCTCTAAACCAGGAGGTCACGGTTTGATTCCCAGTCAGGGCATAAGCCTGGGTTGCGGGCTTGATCCCCAGTGTGGGGTGTGCAGGAAGCAATTGATCAATGACCCTCTCTCCTCATTGATGTTTCTATCTCTTTGTCCCTCTCCCTTTCTCTCTGAAGTTAATAAATATATATATATTTAAAAAAAGAGAGAATAGCACTTGTTTATTCTCACATTTCCCTCATAAGGTGATTGACATTGTTTTGGGGGTTTGTTTTGTTTTCATTTACCAATTCTGTCAGATTTTAATATTTTGCCATATTTGCTTCAGATTTATTTAATTCTTTATTGTTGAAAGTATTACATATGTCCCCTTTTGCCCCATTGCCCTCTCCCAGCCTGTCCCCGACCCCCCCATAGCGTATAGCCTCCTGCCTTAAGTTTATGCGCACTTTGCTCTCTCTGTGCTCCTACTGCCCATAGTATTGATGGAGGCCTGATACCTGGACCTTCAGGTCTCTAATCCCTTGCCCATACAGTAGGGTTGCTCCTCTCCAAAGGTATTGGCTGCTCGTGGTCTCTAAAGTCATCTTAAATGTTGCTGTGTCTCTGACCCTCTTTCCCTCCTCCAATAGGGCAGAGGAGTAGAGACATGCAGAAGTACAAGCAGACAATTTGCAGCTGTTTCTGAATACATGAGCTTGAATTTGAAACTGAGCTTGTCCTTCCTAATAGTCTGCTGGGTTGAAAAGTTTCCCAGTCAAGTTTGAATGGCCTGAGCCATGGAAGCCTAGACCCGCCTCTGTACAATGACTACCACAGGATATGTAGAGATTAGAGTTTGAAATATTCACTGGTTACAAAGATGTTTCTGCTTTTTCGACCTCCCTCCTTTATCTTTCATCTTCTAGCATACCAGGGCTTTAACACCAGGTTGTTAAAAATCATTACTAATGCCTTGGGTTATTCCTATGCAGACACTAACAGCTGCAGGGAAGTGGAACTGCACCTGCTCCCAAATGCTTTCTGTTTAACTTGCTTCCCACATTTGTTGGCACTGCAGGTGGAAGAGCTAATAATGAGCTCTGGCACTCTTCACATCATCTTAGAGACCAGGGTTGCCCTCGCCTTCTTGGAATAGTAGCTATTTCAGATCAGAGTATCAAAGGGCACTATGTTTCTATGTTAGCAAAATCAGCTGACTTTGAAAAGGAACCTTCTAAGCTTCCCTCCCTGCCTTTCTGTCTTTTAGGCCATTTTTGAGCCCTATTCGTAGTTATAACCATCAAAGAATGCCTGTTGCTAAGGGTCTCAGGTTTCATCCATGCCAGGGTACTCATCCCTCCCCAGCACTAACCCAACCCAAAGCTGTTAATAATGCATTCCCAAGTGTTCCATTAGGTGCACTTAAACTGCTACAGGGAAAATGGCAATTTCTGATTTGTGGTAACCCAGCAACAGTTTCTTAGCATTGGTGCCCTTGATCAGCAACTGCTTTCCCAGAGGTAGTCCCATGGCACTCATGAGGTTTTTAGTGGGCTGTCCTCTTAGTTCACCTTCCCTCTGCTAGACCTTTCCTCACCCCTTGCTTTTTTGAAGGAGTGACTATCACCTGATTTCCCCCTTCTTACTCCTATAGGGGTGGGCAAGGAGGAGGATGCTGCTTTAGATGAGGAGGGAAAGCCAAGAACTAGAGCTAGTTAGGCAGAAATATTGACCTACTTTCCAGTCCCCCATCCCCAGTCCGGCCTTTTTAGGGTAAATGTGTGAGTTACTATGGCAACTTCTGTTTTCACTTATCTCAGACCTAACTGACTCCTTTCTGTTGGTGCTGAATGGTGAAAAATTCTAATTCACTGCTGATTCAGTGCCTACACTAAGCCCATGCTTTTGTCTGTATTTATTTTAATAACAATAAGACGAGTCCTAGTGTTGATAGAATTTTTGTACAATCATTTTTGACTGATGATGAATGTAAGGAAGCATCTTTTAAAGACTGCTCTTTACAGAATTTTAACAAGCCACTTATAAGTCCTCTTTGTCCCAGATTCTCTTCTAATTGCTTCAGGCGTTATTTTAGCTTTGCTTTGAGAAGCTAGACACTTGTTAAAAGAAAAAGGAAAAAAATAATGTGGCTCTAGAAAGTTGTGCACTCGTGGTATAAGCATTGCAACTCTGGTTTTAAAAAATTCTTCCTCTGAATTCAAGATATTTCCTGGGACTTTCCTGTCTAGAGAGTAATAACCAGAGGGCCTTTTGGAGATCAGAGGGAGGGGAGGGGTCACATTAATTAGGTAGCCTTGTTAGTGTCAGAGTTTTGGGGTCTCCTGACAGTGCTCTACGTTTTTTTTTGTTTTGTTTTTTTTTTTAATGAGCACACCGAGTTAGTGGGATGGCTCTTATTTAGCATAGAAGTCCTTTTTTAAAAAATTTATTTTTATTGACTTCAGAGAAGAAGGGAGAGAGAGATAGAAACATCAATGATGAGGAAGAATCATTAATCAGCTGCTTCCTGCACGCCCCCTACTGGGGATCAAGCCCGCAACCCCAGCTTGTGCCCTGACTGGGAATTGAACTGTGACGCTCAACCACTGAGCCATAGAGGCCAGGCTCCATAGGTTTTCAAACTAGTTCCAGAGGGATTAGGGATTCCTTTTAGGTGTCCCAGAGGATGACAGTTGGGGGTAGACATCAGGTTGGTACTTCACGCCTCACTCTCATTTTACCCAGAGCTGATCTGCTTTTAGCAATTTTATGTATTGATTATATTTGTTTAAAGGATTCGCTGTTAAGAAATGGTTTGAAAACCAGTACTGTACCAAGTTATACATTATAAAATAGATGTGATGATTAGGGAGCTGAGCTCTTGAGCAAAACCAAAGCTAAGGACCCTCTTATTTACTTTTCTTATTCATTGTGGTAATACCAAAGAAATGACACCATTTTCTATTCCTTATGATGATTAGTTTTATGGGAGAGAAAAACATGAAGGATTGATTCAGAATTGTGTGTAAGTGCAAGAATGAATGGTAGGGACCAGATTGGTTGAAAGAGTTCAGAAAAGGCAGCAGTTCAAGTTGGGCTTGTCAGAGATGACTTCATAGAGGAGAAATTGTTGTTGTCTGACTCGTAATTGGTGCTCAGTAAGTATTTTCCTGAATGTGGAAAGGAACGATGTAGAACAAGCATGTCAAACTCACGGCTCACGGGCCGCATGCACCCCATAACAAGTATTTTTGTGACCCAGCCAATATAACGGTATGTAAGAAACATTTTAATAAAAATTTTGTAACTTAATTTTTACAATATCCTTTTATACGTAATTATTAATAACGAACTACAACATTCGTTAATGACTAATTACTATAATCATGTTGCATTCATTTCCCTTACACGTCTTACATGCAGGCGCACCATTTCTCTCCACTAATACTAGCAGCGAATATTTTAGTAGCCGATTGCCATGTCATTAGCCTTGTACTGACTTGTTTGGTGTGTGCAAAAGGAAATATTTTGCTTTCGGAGAAAAAGAAAAATAGTTTTATTTGAGTTATGCTTATTAATTTGTGCAGTTATTCAGTGTCTGATAAGTTAATGTTCAAGAAAAAATATTAATTTTTATTAAAATGTTCTACTATTTTTTGTAAATATTTTATTGATTTTTTTACAGAGAGGAAGGGAGAGGGATAGAGCGTTAGAAACAACGATGAGAGAGAAGCATCGATCAGCTGCCTCCTGCACACCCCCTACTGGGGATGTGTCCGCAACCAAGGTACATGCCCTTGACCAGAATCAAACCTGGGACCCTTGAGTCCGCAGGCTGACACTCTATCCACTGAGCCAAACCGGTTGGGGCAAAATGTTCTATTATTTTATCATAACAATTACTCATTTATTTCAGGTCTTTGTATTCAGCATGTCTCTATTGAAATAAAACTATTAAACCTATGTTTCTATGAAAATT